AGGTAGGGTCAATCTTCCCTGTAATCTGTTTCTTTGAAAATGAGACGCCATAGTCCATGGAAAAATACACCTGACTTGTAGAGACAGGTTGAGTGGTCTCATCTCGTGTCAGCGCTACAATAACTTTACTTCCTTCCCCAGCCCAGTGGACTATCATCTCATTGTGGTGGTCATCAGGCAGCTCATACTGTAAAAATAAAGTGACACTAATGTTTTAGATGGTCGGAATACATGTAGATGAGTTTCCATTCACTGCAAGATCTAATGTAATGCATGAAAGACACAGTTTAAATAGCTATCGCAAAATACAAATGATTTAAACTTGAATTTCCTTTCTTTTTTTTAGTTCAATTATAGTCCAACTTCCCATCTTTTAGAGAGGATATGGCATTGAGGTATCCTTACTTTATCAAAATTAACTATCATCACATGTGTATATTATTGAGCGTGGAAAAATTCCAAAATAGTTTTGACACCATGTCTCTAGTACTTGTATAACCTTTGTTTTTATGTTTGATTTCATGTATAATGCAGGATCTTGCATTTAAGGTAGAAGCCTAGTCATAATTTTTGACAAAATTGGTCATAAATCGCATGACAATGTTCATTAGTTTATTATGTACAATCATGAAACTAAACGTATCATGGTACAATGAAATACCATTATTTTGTGTTAAAGTTAAGCTTTTGGAGAAATATGTTCTAATATTTCTTGAAAATTGCTATTTTTGGAACAATTCCATAGAACACAATGTTGAAGAAAAATTGTGTTTTTTGACAATTTTTAAAACCCAGATTTTTTAAATAATTCAGGACAAAAAGTACTCCATCATTAGCAATATATGATTTTTTCAGCCTATGTCACCAGGGTAGATTTTGAGATATTGCATAATATCTCTGCCATAGGAACCAGTGACATGTGAATGAGGTGAAAACCAGTGACATAGGAATAGGGTGAAAACCACTGACATGTGAATGAGGTGAAAACCAGTGACATGTGAATGAGGTGAAAACCACAGCTATGTGAATGAGGTGAAAACCAGTGACATAGGATTAGGGTGAAAACCACAGCTATGTGAATGAGGTGAAAACCACTGACATGTGAATGAGGTGAAAACCACTGATATTTATTAAACATACATATCCTAAGGGATATCCTAAGTGTGACCCTACAATATATTCATGTAGTAATTTTAAATCATGACAATTTACTTCCATCACTTGATAAATTTCATACGTGGGGCACAAATCTGATATTCTGTTTATCACATGTATTAATTTCACAGCTTCTAATAACTAAAAACTAATCATAGTTTGCAAGCACGTTTAAGACAGCACAGAATGCTCATTTGCATAACCAATTACATGTACCATACATGAATGCTGAATGTTTACCCTATTGCAATTAAGTTATTTTTAAATAAAAACAATGTCACAGAATAATATTTGATTTGAAGTTCATTTCGAAAATGTAATTTTCAGAAATGTTTTTAAAATCTATATTTTAATAAATTTATGAATGTAATATGAGAAATTATTGATTAGATTTTTTTATCATTTGTATTTCAAATTGGCTTGCAATTAGAAAATAAGTTGTGTCTCCTAAAGAAGGCAGCTGCAATAGAATGTCAGTTTAGCTAGGAGAACTATTGTATCATGAAACAATGATTATTTCCAAAACATTAGTTATTCTTATACCATGTTTTTTTTTGCACCGATAAAAATTTCTGAAATTTCAGAATTTTATGGCATTTATTACAAAATATCACAAAAGTCATTGAATTCTTCATTGCTATAAAAGTTTCATGATTTTAACTGACTACGGTTAGCGGAATTCGCAAAAAGTAGTCCTTTGCGAAAATAGACAGTTTACAGTAGTGTATTAGCATGTACAAAGGAAATTATTATATTTTTTATTATATACCCATTTTATTTCATTTTATGCAAATTAGTTCTTTTTTTTATGTAAATTACTATGTTCTCAGAAATTATTTTGTTCATTTACTTTCTTTGATGTAGTGGATGACCATAACATGATCAGAAATCCACTATGAGAGACTTGCAAATTGGTCATTCCTTCATAATCTTGAGTCTATATTAAATGCAAGATTGAGATAGAAATAACATGTTCACCTTTTCACCATCAGTTCCCTCTTTTTCATCATAAATTATTTCTCATTTATTGTAACAAAAATAGCCACATTTTTTAGTAAAACTGAAAATTTACTCAAATTGTGTCTGTTGGCTCCAAAATTAAGGTTTCTTTCCAGTTGTGTATGGCCTGTGTACGCACCTCTAACTGTCACTATATGATTACCAGTGCTGTATAGCTTCTAGTATACACACCTCTAACTACATGTATATGCAAGGTAGAGTCCCCCGTCACTACAGGGTTACCAGTGGTGTATGGCTGCTAGTGTACACACCTCTCACTACATGTATATGCAAGGTAGAGTCCCCTGTCACTACAGGGTTACCAGTGGTGTATGACTGCTAGTATACACACCTCTAACTACATGTACATGCAAGGTAGAGTCCCCTGTCACTACAGGGTTACCAGTGGTGTATGGCTGCTAGTGTACACACCTCTAACTACAAGTATATGCAAGGTAGAGTCCCCTGTCACTACAGGGTTACCAGTGGTATACGGCTGCTAGTATACACACCTTTAACTACATGTATATGCAAGGTAGAGTCCCCTGTCACTACAGGGTTACCAGTGGTGTATGGCTGCTAGTGTACACACCTCTAACTACAAGTATATGCAAGGTCGCCTGTCACTATAATATGGCTACCAGTTATGTATATCTGCTGTTGTAAACATCACTGATGACATATACAATGTACATCATGTACTCTGACCAACTAGATTTTACTAGTAATTATTAAGTATTGTAAGTAAGTAATTAAGTATTGTCCAGTCAGTATAGCACAACTTATTATTTAATTCTCAGGTGGTAAATATCCAGTAGCAGTTGGGCTACTATTTTTAGAAACTAGTAGTCATGGGATAATTGTTGACAGGAAATAAACAAAGCTACTGTTAAAGTGATGGATGTGTGTTGATTAATTCAGCTAAAATTTCATGGCAGTTAGTGAGTTTGTTCTATTACAGTTGTACCGGTAGTAGCGATGCACATTAACCTATGTAAATTATAGAGTTGTTGCTAGGGTAAAAATAAGTCATATTTTTATGTTTCAGTATACAATTAACACAACTATATTAGTTTATATACACTTTATTAGAGAAGCACTTCTAATAGAACAAACACAGTGAGTGCTTTTAAAGAAAACTGTGTACAAATCATATGCAAGTCAGCCTGATGATGAATATCCAACTGAAAGTACAGGGGCAAAAATTGGTGATCTCACTGAGTGGTTGTGTTGGTGATTTGAAGCCTTGATTTGAACAAATAGTTACAAGAATATTAAATATATATTTGGACATCAAAAACATAACCAAAGTATCATCCAATTCAAAAGTATAGAAAATGTTAACAATTTTAAAATAAGCTGTTTTTTCAGCCAGGCATAATTTTAATAGTATAACGTCATGCAATAATAATTTTATTGAGTTACAGTCTGTTACCAGCTCAAATGATTTTCATTATTATACAATAGACAGTATGAACAAAACACATCACATATGTTTATTTACATCACCCTAGTTCCTATGCATGTATCACTTTGAAAGACGAGCAAAAGTCGCACATTGGGGGGTTGGGGGAGTGCTGGTAATGCCAACAAATTGTAAAGATAAAAGAAAGAAAATTAAAGCTGTGTCACTGAACATTTTTTTTTAACTCCTCAGAACAAGTATTACATTTTTCTTTTTTGCCGAATGACTGGAATAAATAGAACAGATAATAGTCTTTGTCATCATTCATATTCGAGTAGGTCTAACTGATTACAGGGGGGCTGGTAATGTGAAATGAAATAAATCACAATATACCCATCAGTTTATGCAAATTACGTTGACATTCCATTCTTATGGTGCCTGCATGTATGATGAACCACCCAAATACACACATACACACTAGCAAATTTTCACATCAAAATGAAATATTAATAAGACCAAGTCCGGGCAGGTTTGGCAAACCCGATTACTATGACAATTAGAGAGTATTGTCAACATGTATTCAGGAAGCCACAACAATATTTCACTTGTGTGGAGTGCGCAGCTGAACACTTATCGCTGTAAACATCATAACACCAAAGCCGTGCACAATTTAAATACGTAAACAAACCCAAACAGTATCTGAGTACCGAAAGTATCTCTGCCACCACACACTGCCATTTTGTGGTGAAACCACAAGACTTTTTACTACGCCAATTATTTGCGTATTTTTGTTATTAGAGGGATCTCATGTTGATTTATTCCTACTGATAAACAAGTTTTAAAATATTTCGTTGATTGCTGATAATGATTTTTTTGTGAACACACTGAAAACACACTAGTTACAATTTACAAAAGAAAATAATTCTATTGCGTAATAACCGTTACCAACAAGGTGTTACTCGGTTCATCAAACTGACCGTCCTGTTAATTACCAAGTGAAGAATTACAAACTAACGAAAGCACTTCGTAGTATTGACGACTAAATCGTCCGACTGCCATACCTGCCTGTGTACTGTATTAATTGTTTAATAATCCTAATAACAAGTTGATAATTATAATGTGAATATTTTTATAATTGTATTATCATGACAATCATAAGCTGCTTCTGTTCACAGCTCCTGTTAGTTCGCGGTAAAAAAATATGTAATACTGTAGAATACTTTATTTTCGCTTGGAATTTATTTTTGCTATTTTCGCTGACGGGAGGATTCCGTGAAAATAAAATCCAGCGAATATACTTTTTTTCATACATTTCACATTAAACTCATCAAAAATCAGTGAAAATAAATTCCATACAAAACGCTCAAAATGCCTTTTCAGCAAAAATTAATTCCAGCAAAAATAAACTATTCCACAGTACAGCTTAGTACGGGCTAAGAAACTAAGTACAGGTTAAATCTGACTCGTTTTTAAGACCTGGTCTAGACACTTAGCTCGGGCTAAGAAAGTGTGTGAGAACATTTAGCTTTGGCAATGCATGGAATGACGATGAAACTCTGCAATATGCACTTTCTGAATTTGCATTGTTAATGTTTTATAACCATAGAACTAACATGTATACCTTGGGGGGGGGGCTTCCTGTACTACAAATTTACTTTCTGGATTAAAATTACAATGGATAACAAAAGATATATTAACATTGTAAACAACATAAACAATAGTGTCCCATGATTCTTTGGTGCAATCCCTGGGCATGAAATGTTCCCCTTTAACAAATCAGGGTGCTCCTTAGCCTGTGCTCACTGTTGTTCCCTCTCATAGTAAACGCAGTGGGGAATAGCTGATATGGAAACATATGAGATTAGCTTAAACCTTAACCCTTAATTAATTGAAGTACCCTGAACACAGCTACATCCTCTGAGAAAATGTATCAAATGGTAAATGTATAAACGCGTAAGTTGACAACTATAGATAAACAAGAATTGAACAAACACTTTACAAATTACAGCATAATAATTTCAACAAACAACGCCGTATTTGATGTTTACGCTGCGACAGATGGCCTGACTCGAAATGTATTTATACAATGCATATCCCAGAAAAAGATAAATAAACAAAACATGTCCGTACCAAGAACGGCCATGAGTGTGAATTATAGCTTGTCGCGTACATTGTTATACAGGTAAAGCGGAAGACACTGACATTATGCAACATGTGTGTTTGTGTGCGTGTGCGTGCGTGACTGAATAACAACAATATTGAAGATGCCACTTCCTGGTACGAATAAACCGCAGAATAACAAAGTGTGCGATAGATTAAGTCGCTGCCGACATTGATCACACAGACTAGTTTATAAGCGATGTTTTGGACGTTACTGTGATGTTTTGGTGTGAACAATACAGACATATCTAGTAACTTCACCTTTGTGACCATATCGCTCGGCGATTGGGATACTCCTGGTGATGGTGCATCTCGAACCACCCGCTTGACAGTGTTGGATATGAATTCGCTGGATTCGTGGTCTTTTGAAACACGATATCGCCAATATCCTTCTCCCAAGCCGTGATTAGCATTTTCGGTTGGGAAATGCAGAGTTCTAGACGGTAAACCGAAGCGTACGCAGACTACAAAAGGCGTAAACGCAACAAAATACAACAGAATAATCCTGGCCATGGCCGCCATTTTGAAATGACACACAACGACTAAATGTGAGAGTGGTATACTGCGGCAACAATGTAGTTCACCTTGTTTAAACATTGTTCAGCTGTACAGTAAGCAGCATTGTTCAACATTTGTTCCGAAGTCATTAGCTTGAAGTCTCACTTGGCGAATAATATTATAATAGTCATTTAATAATGAACAAATCGATGTTGTCTCCAAATCGCGGATTGATACTCAAAATAAGGGAAAGTAATTCTCAGCACCAGGTGAAATCAACGACGAAATTGTCGGAAAGATAACACTGCAAACAACTTTTTTAGTTTTTGTGATTATTCGCTCTCAATTTCCGTGAGGCCGATGTTGCTATGTATATATTTTATAGGCATTTGTGTAATACAATTTGTGTTGGATATAACCGACTGAGCACAATATACAGTTAATTAACTCCATTGAACAACACAATTTTTCTCTCCATAATTTTGGCACATTTTTTTTTACAAAAAGATAAAAAAAAATATGACACCAAATGTTTCATAAATGACTAATCCCATGACAAAGAAGGCTAAATACCGACACAAGAAGAGCTGGTTCACAGCTAGGAAACTCTAGTATGCATGTTTATTTTGTGAAAGATTTACAAAAGTTCAAAGGGTTATATTTGCTACCATTTGTTCGATAATATTTGTGTTTCTTATTTTTAACTACCGTAATGGTCCACACGAATGCCATCATTTTTCCGCGATATTTTTCTACGTTTCTTCTTTAACCTTTTTATCACCAGAATGCCTCGCCCAATTTGTTGAGTCTGCACTTTTTTTTCTTATATTCCTCAATATTACTGGATATGAACCGTAATTTTAAAGCCAACTGACAAAATTTGACTATTTTTGTCCCAGTGTTCTGAAGAAAAGAGCAGACTATAAAGGGGACTATTTTGTGAATTTGTGACCAAAAGGGAGAACTGGTGTTGAAAAGGTCTATTTTTGACAAAATGGACATAAACAGCCTAGATGACTTTGTTGATCAAGAGGTTAGATACACATTTTCAACACCACCATTCTACAAACATGTTGGTTTTGCACATTATTGTGTATTTTTTTTATAATTTTGTTAGTTAATTTTGACATGCTAATTTCACAATGGCTACAACAGCTCTAATCTCTTTAGGTTTTTTTTTAAATATGTTGGTAATTATTTATTTTTATCATACATTTTTTTTTCATTTCAATTTATTATTTATTTGCTGGCTGTTTTAAAAACAAATGCGTAATCGCGGAAGCCCACAATGTGGCGATAGCTAAATCAGTGGAAAATAAGACAACGAGTTCATAATAATAATAATAATTACAACATAATAAAATATATAAAATAAAATACATTAGATTTTAATCAGATTGCAGCAGTTCTTAAAAAGTAACCTATTTGTCATTATTATTATTCTTGGTCATTTTGTAAATTACGCGAAATTTTCAATATAAGGTGAACAGATGAGTAGAAATTTAACTTATCATTTAAAATGTACATTTCTATAATGTGCAGTGTTGGTTTCATATCAAGACAGGTACACAGAAGGCTGGTAAACCCTGGCCCTTCATATTACTAAGGAGTTACTCAGCCCGAGGTTTATTTAGTAAAGAACACAGGCAGACCTGGAACACAGGGTGTCTTCGACTAGACTTAAATCCAATCCGTACACTAGTACGTGTTGTGTAAGATTTTTAAGTTGCACACACTTTGCGTCAAACGCCTGAAATGAGGAAATAGTCCGCTCACAATGACGCAGATGAGTGGTTGCGAAATATGTATGTCATTCGGGTTCAATGACACGCAATGAACCACGACAGCACGCATTCGAAATCCAACATTTTGTTCTTAATTAAAGCACGTTTAAAATTTCAGTTTTATTGTCCGCATGACTAGTTTTCAAATGAAGGAGACGAAGTTGTTTTACCTCCTTATTTGTGGAGAAATAACAGTAGACGAGTGCTGATTATTCGTACCCATCCTATTGTCCCATTCTCAAAAGAAATATTCAAAATAGCGATGTAAATCTGGGTATAGACCCTGAAGACGTTTACAGGGTCTCTGATCTGGGTGTGTATGCCACAGAAGCCAATTACATTCTTCGGTTGATTTATTAAAATTCAGTTTGAGCCGAATTCTGTTTTCACGTTACGACCCAGTACGTGTGCGCAATGCGTCATAGAAACAAAACTTCAATTCAGATTATATATAATGAAAAAATATTATCACACAGAAACTAAATAAGTAAAGTTTAATTTTTATGAAAATAGTTCAACTATTTGTCAGACTGTGTTCTACTGTTTGCGGTACGCCCCTAATCGTCATGATTTATATAGTCTGGTCCCCTGCCCCAGTTTCAACGCTATATTGCAAAATAGCGCCACCATGCGATAGATTACCATGTGATGATGAACTCGTTGTTGTTAGTAGTTACTAGCACTGACATTGACACTATATGTCGCGTTATATTGCGAGTAAAATATTACTAACAATATTGTATTAATATATGCATTCACACATTAGAGTAGTTTTTGAGGAATAGGCAGGTCAACGCGTCCACTGGAAGCAATTATATACAGTTTTTATGCCAGCATATAACCCATACATCTAAAAATAGATTCGTTTTAAGAAAACCATTGCCATTACGACATAACAATTAAACACGTTCTTTGTATGCCACATAACTGAGTTGATTTTTTGAAACAAAACACGTAATCAACTATACGAGCATTGTATTATGGGAAATAAACATGATATTGACCAATCAGTTGAAGGTGATATACATGATATTGACCAATTAGTTGAAGGTGATATACATGATATTGACCAATCAGTTGAAGGTGATATACATGATATTGACCAATCAGTTGAAGGTGATATACATGATATTGACCAATCAGTTGAAGGTGATATACATGATATTGATCAATCAGTTGAAGGTGATATACATGATATTGACCAATCAGTTGAAGGTGATATACATGATATTGACCAGTCAGTTGAAGGTGATATACATGATATTGACCAATCAGTTGAAGGTGATATACATGATATTGACCAATCAGTTGAAGGTGATAAATATGATATTGACCAATCAGTTGAAGGTGATATACATGATTTATAAGTCACACCGGATGCAAAGTTTGTGTGGCTTGGTATTTATATGTAACATAATCAGTGCCACTCGACTCCATATTTTCTTGGCTGTATCATGAGGGCGCTCTTGTCGGTAGACCCTACTTTATGCGAGACGACTCATTTATTTAATTGACCCAATAATTTTTGTAACATTGAGACTAAATAAAAAACAATTCATGACTGAATTATAAAAAGAATCAACTAAAATAAGAAGTACGTGTCAGTTGTCAGACAAGAAATCAATATCACAATTACTTGATGACGTATTCTACATAGGCCGTATTATATCCACCAATCAGATCGCAAGCATATACTAGTATTCGGAGAGTTTCATATAGATTTGTAAAGCAATATCATCAGTTGAAACTGGAACTTAATCGATAACGGTCAAATTCTCTGTCTAAATTCACACGGGTACTCAAAAGGAGCATTATTATTATTGGTTATTATGATTATCTGCTTTTATGAAGCTTTGTTGACGGAAAAAAACAAAGTTTGAAATGTAAAACATTACTAGTAAGGTTTTACAGTCGTACGTTATATTAACCGTAATACAATATTAACTATTCAACTTGAGTATTGTAATATCTGGTTTTGTTTTGTTTTTTGAAATAAATAATTGTGATTAAATGAATTAAGACATTATTTGCTATTTCAATCTCCTGGATACACCCCCACATATAAATACACGGAACCTTTTTTTTTTTTTTTATAATTCAGACCCTTTCTATCATGACTATTGACCATTCCTGCAATCCTATTCAAACACATGCGTAGGTTTCAGTCAGGGGTTTCGGTCTTTGAGTAGAATGGAGTTGTGGGTGTACATTTACTGTGCTATGTTTCGATACGGTTCTTCTACTAATCGTGGTTTCGATGATTGTGACTTGATTGTCACATCGATCGTAGTTTCACTCTATGGATGTGATGACCGCCAACGTAAACAAGGGCAATACTGCAGAGCTCACTTCTAAAGGCTTACACATTGTTTTGTTTGTGTGTGTGTGGAAATAAATACTAGTAATACATCCAGGCTTCAGCCATGGCTAGAATGAGTTGAGGGTGTATCTTTACCATGTTATGTATCGGTGATTGTGACCCGTCATATTGATCACAGTTTTACAATAAATATCTCTTCACGGATGTAACCTTATATGAGGCATGAACGTTTTGGCGTTTGGTGGAATTATATAAAACATTCAAAAAACACACTAGCTTCAATCACGACTTTCTAAAATCACACCAACCCTGCATATTTGGAGTATATAACTCGATATTATGACAAATGGGATGATAGTCCAAATTGTTGGGAAATGCGAAATTCCCCTTATTATATCTAAAAACCCAACATGTGCCGCTGAGGGCGCATGCAAGAATTATGATATGAGTTACTGAGTGTACATAATCGATTGTTTGATACATATGTTTACATACATTTTATCTTACAATATAACATATATTGGAATTACTCTATTCTCTTTCAGAAGAACACCGCCAACGGCAACATCAGTCGATTTTTTTGTTTTGTCATTTCACATGCGTAGCCCATGACGAAAAGTTTTCCTTATATCTCGCACTCATTTTTGTACATATTTTTTTTTTTTTTAAAAAAACTTCTATTTAGTATTGCCCAAATCACTGGGTTCCTGCTTTCCATAACTTTCAAGTAGAAATGGTTGCTAGTTTTTAATAACCGAGCAAAGAACACACGCGATTATACCCACTGTTTTCAGTTATGCTAGCTTCTAATACAGTTGTGTTTAAACACAATTTTAAGAGTACTATTATTGCAAAACATATAGAGTCGTCGTGTAATAGACAGTGTACAGGGGCTTGTATACAATGAGTTTTAAAACAGTAATTGTGGGTGACTGTGGCCACTTGTGTAGACAAATCAATCAATTCAGTGAGCGAATCTACGAATGCTTAAACCATTGCCTCTAGTGTAGAAGGAAATCATTTCCCGATTAGTCTCATCAATATTTTCCTTAAATCGACAATCATAACGCTCAAAAAACAGTAGTCGACGCGCAGCGCGTGTTCAAATTTTCTCACACAAACAATGTATTTTACACGCGTTGTTTACGTCACTATCAGTACTACATCGAGCAAATTCTTGTCCACACAACTTATTTTACACCAATTCGGTACATCAAATGTTACATTTAAGAGGGTTCCCAACTAAAATCAGCTGAGGATTTGTAATACGGAAGACTGTTAAAAATACATATAGGTCCTAATGAATTTACGTTTATTATCTACGTGTCATCCCTACCAGAGAGTCATGGTGACTTCCTCGGAACTCAGGATTAGCGAAACTCCACACTTACCATCATATATCATCAAATGCCCTGTTATTATTTTATCACATTTAAACTAATAATAAGTAAACAACGAAAAAATTTTGTTTTATTCTGCCTTTTCTGATAAATGTAATGCTATTATTAAGCATAATTATCTTTCAATCATTATTAGTCTGTGCCTTGCATATCCAAAAAACTATTTTACAATACAATACAAAGCTGAAAGCATTTCGGTACAAATAATTTCGGTACAAGTAATTTCTGTCAGCGTTTGTGACCACATTGAAATTGGTAATGACCTATGCGAAATTATTCACGTTAGTTAAATTACCAGCCCCGCTGATTTTCAGAACCACGTGACGCTAAAACAAACACAATGTTCACAAAATATTAATAATAGGAAAATACAAGTCAAGAGCTTTCCAAACATATATAGATTGTATGGTTTCTTGTAAAATTTATTCCGATTATAGGTGTTTATATTTTTCATGCAAAAAAACTATCCTGCTACCTTAACTTACATAGCGAATAGTCGATTCTGCCAACAACGGAGAGAGGGAAGATTTTTTCAGTTATGTTTTTACTTTTAATTTACGCGGAAAATATCATTTCAAAGAACTTGAAAATGATTACGAGGTCTGCATATTCATTTTTTTTCTCTTTTTCCCAGTGCATAGTATACTTTTGTTGCTGTTACATTGTGTGTATTTGTATATTTCATAAGTATTTTCTTTGCTGCCTGTAGTTTGAACTTTTAGCAAAATCCATCCAGTCAATGCACACGTTTTAAACTACAAGCAAGGCTCCATACAATCAATATGCGCGTTGAAATAATTAAATACCAATATTATTTGGTACATAAGATTGCTGTACCCTAAAACTCAACGAGGTGTTACCATGTCACGGTGTCATAATGACACCAATGTAAGACTTTCTAGGTTATCATGGCATTGGACTGCAGTGATTAAAAAAGGAATCATGCCTCGTTCGGCATGCTAAATCCACCCCGACAAGAAAAAAAAAATATAACATTTTGCTATTTATTCAATTTATTTAAAGTTATAAAGATAAAGTTATTCAGGTATACTGCATTTTCTATCATGTGTACTGTTGTAATAACTTGAATAAATCCCCACAGCGCCATATTGGATCGGTCTATGGCTATAAAGTCAACTATATAATGTCTGAGGCGAAACCGAACATATTATTGCGTCTAGATTCTTCCCAAATCCAATATTTCGCTGTGTGTGATTCATTCCTGTTGTTATGGCAATAGTTTCTCATATATTTCCACCATCAGAACATTTAGTTAAATTTTGTGTCGAAATGATTTGCGAATAGAGGTTTACAAATGATTACCGTGTGATAATGTTAAACTATGTCGTTACATAAACCTCTAATTCGGATTCATAATATGCAACAAAGCTGAATTGAATTATTAGTATTTTATGGGGTCTGAGATGACTGTGAATAGGATATACTAGTATTTCTTTCCACTCGAGCGTAAATTTCTCGGTGACCAGAATGACCTTTAAGCAAACGCCACCAAGCGTTGACCTAATATCAAAACATTTCTCCCACGCACACTCTCGGAATCTGCGCTATCTTGATGCGAGATTTGAACTGAGATCAAGACTCAACATGTCGGGGGTTTTGTTCGAAGATATCTTTGACGTCAAGGACATCGATCCAGAAGGGAAAAAGTTTGACAGAGGTAAGAAAATTCCGCGATATGTGGATAAGTAAAAAATCCCGAGAATTGAGCCTTTGGATCGAGAGTTATTGGCTACAATGCCTTACAAGTCCATCGGCGCAGAAGCATGTATGCGCACACAAACATGTTCTGACAAGACGATTAAATCGACCGGTACAGCGGGGTTTTTAAATTCAAAAATTTAAATATCTGTGCTTTAACTCTAGTTGCATACAGTCTTTTACTCAGGATTACGGAACTCCCGTAAAATCGCAGAATTTCACGATTTACGTGAAAAATGCCGCCCGTGACGACCTTCCATATGCAAATGAGGGAGTTTCCTTCACGGAAGGGATTCCCTCTCCAGCGATTTCAGGTACGGTATATTATGTATGCGTTTGGCAACTGCAAACGCAACAGGTGATATTTAAAATCCGTTAAATTTACTATAGTAGTCCCAAACCAGGGCCTTCAAAGCTCTCGGCTAAAGTTGTCCCATGGAAATTGCTACGGAATTCCTGCTATGCGCCAAGTCTGGTAGTAGATATTTATTTCCATGTCTTTGTTTCAACCCGGGCCTCTGGTTCAGTTTACTGGCTGTGGCCCCTAGAATTACAGATTATATATCATACACTCGACAAGTGCAAACTAAAATAACAAATCAACATTTTTGATTAATTTATTTCTCAAATAATTCAAACATTTTTCTTTTCTTTTTTTTTCTCTCCGCTTTTTATTTTCCAGTTTCCCGTCTACACTGCGAAAGCGAGAGTTTTAAAATGGAGTTGATATTAGATGTGAACACTCAGCTTTATCCAGTTGAACTAGGTAGGTAACCTGGCCCCCCTATATCCGCTGTAAACCAGTACAAAGTAAGTGCTGGGCCAGATATTTACATATTACCCCACCCCAATCTAACCCTTCTACATCTCTATGCTATCCATGGCCTGTGTGTTGCTTATTTGTTATACAACCTAAACAAATGTATTTTACACGCGTTGTTTACGTCACTATGAGTCCTACATCAAGCAAATTCTTGTCCACACAACTTATTTTACACCAATTCGGTACAATTTAAAGAAATATAAAATACTGCAATTAGAAAAGGTTAATTAAAAGTTTGTAACATAATGATTTAAATTCAACTTTAAAAAAACAAAAAACGATTCATTACATTTTTAACTAAGGTAGAGTTATCTATTCACCAAATAATAATATTTTAACCTCCATTAAAGAAACTTTGCAGACCCCTAAGCTTACCCCCTCCCCCTCAAAATTGATTTAAATTCATACCATTGTACTTGAAAAGTATTGATAGATTAAGTTGATTTTATTTTTGTTTTCCGCTCGCTAACAGAATGGCCAAAATACAATCCCTGGTTACGACCTTAGTATAACCTTAAATCCTAAAACTGTATGTGCGATAGATTTGTCCAAGTTCTGAAACTTGACTGGTAATTATAGAATACTGTCAAGTCTGTCTCTAATCATACCTAATTGCTGAGTACCTATTTTTCCCATAGGGAGAACTGAAAATAAATCCAGTTTACGTGAGATTTTAATCGGTACCAGTATCTCCAACCTGACCTGTATAGTGAGGCCATGTCAAAGCTTTCATATTAAGAGGTGAAAAGTCCCATTGGTTACTACATTGTCAGCATTGTGCATTTCTGCCGTAGCAACAAGAAACACTGTGGTGCCAAGCTCGCAGATCTCTGGAATTTGTTGAGACATGCTTCGGTCCCTAGTTTGGTCATAAATGGTTTAGTCTTCAATAAAAGTCTGCACCATTGACAGGTTTTTAGGGGTGGCTGTATACAATGAGATTTGCATGACACTACTAAAACAGTTTAAATGCCTGTCTATGCTTGTCTTTTTAAATTTAAAAAAACTGTCAGTTGAACTCAAGTACAATAGCCTTTAAATTCATTTAAACATGGCTATCCCTCATTGCAAAACAAAGTTGTAATTACCTTTGATTGAGTTCTCAATTTATAATTAGTTACTTGTATTTTTTGTTATTTTTATCAGACAATGCAAGTTTTTTAAAAAACATCATGGCTGATATCCATTTTAAAGTTGTTGAGACCTTGAACACTTTTAAAAATATTTAAAATGGTTTCCAGTTTTGTGTCTATAGCCTTCTGCATTCCTAAGCATAGCTCTTGTAAAATTTAAATCAGATATCATCACCATCGAGAACCGTATACGGGATAGTTCACACTTGTCTTTTTATTTCGTAATGTACATTCAATAATTCCCTGTAACATTGAATTTGAATATAATCCAGATTCAGTTCATTTGTAAAACTTTAACTCATAATATCCCTACACTCCATGCTCAATTAGTCCCACTCGGAGGAGGCATTTATCATTTCCAAATTGTGTGTAGCTTAATGTGGATATTGTAATTGTTTCTATTAGAAGTGCATATGCTTATAAAGGAACCTGTTAAGTTAGCACTCAATGAGTTTGGTTAACATAAGTCCCGCAAAAAGAAACTTGGCTTGTATGTATCTCTACCTGTAATAATCTCTTAATAATTCTGGTTTTACTTTCTTTTGAAGCACAATTGAGTACAACTTAAATCGCTCTGTTTCCTAACAACTTGAAGTCCCCCCTCCATAAATTGACATTTATATTGTTAATAGTTTCTTGCAATTAAACACAGATTTTAATACTCTATATCTGCTACAATACAGAAACTAGCCTTTAAAATATAATTAGCTTGAATCGTGTGCATAATATCTTTCATTCAAATCTTCAAGATTCTGTTTCTTGTTGTTGCATGTCATATGAAAATAAAAATCAAATTTGGTTTTCTGAGGAAGGTGATACTCTCGCAAAGTCTTAATAGGTAATAAAAATAGGCCCTGTTTAAAGAATCAGAATGGAAGAGAAAGGGTATTGATTTTCTAAGTATGTAGGGTGTAAAATGTAAAATCCATCATAGCATTCTAATCTGAAAGGTTGAGTAGATAAAATGTTCATTCATTCATTCACTCATTCATTCACTCACTGTTGACTCTGGCTTGGTTTCCCTCGAAAACTTGCATAGGCAAGTATTTGATGTGTCAAATTGAAACAGATCTAGACTCCTTCCCAAAATATGTTAATGAATCTTCTAAAACAATTTAAAAGCTCTGGAGACAGTAATTACACGTATGTGTGAACTGTTTTATGATGTTTTGAGGATTATTCATAAACAATAAGTTACCAAGAACTCGTTTTGTGTGAAATAAAATTTTTGTTTGCATTTTTGTTTTGATAAAAAACAATTCTGATTGCACAGATTTCAGATAAATTATAATATTCTCTTGTGCATCTGTTTAAAATGAATTTGTGAGTTGCAATGTTTTTGATTTTGTTTAGTAACTTTCAACTTTATTGTGTTTCTATGGAAAAACCAAGATGGCAGCCCCCATGTGCTTTCATGCAAATGAGCTTCGCTACAATTGTCAGAGTCTTGAGTGGTAAATATACTGGCTCAGAAACCTTTCAAAACTTTCTATATTATCATATAATCATAATTAAAGTTCAGTTAGTTCTCCCTAAATCAAAATGGGGGAAAAGGAATATATTGTATTTAATTGCAACTAAATTTAGGGTTCCCTCCAAAATTTTTGTACGATTATACATGCATTTTCAAGTTTAAACTCAGCAAAAACTCCCCCCAAACTTCCTAGACATTCAATCCTTGTAACAACCTCTAAAATCTAGTGTAGCTTAAGTCTGTAATTTAAAAAATAAAAAGAATTTTACAGTTGTTTGAAAAATGTAGTAATGTATCCAGACAAATTCCTGTCAAATATCACTCAAACTAAAACTAACCTATTAATTTAGTTTTCATCCATATCTTGTTGTACTTATCAGATGTAATCAACTCAATTTTAAATGTTCAACTAAATTTTGGGAATTAATTAAAATCAGCCAGGTAGTAAATTTTGTGAAATGGCTGGGATTAATTTTCACTGAAAAGAATTTTGGGTGTTTTGTATGGAATTTATTTTCACTAATTTTTTTGACAAGTTGAATGTAAAATATAAGAAAAAAAAGTATATTAACTCGATTTTATTTTCACTGAATTCAGCCCTTCATCAAAAGTAGCAAATATAAAATCAGAATGAAAATTAAGGATTTTATAGTAAATGTAACTGAGCTGTGAAAAGTCAAGGTTTGTCACAGTGGTGTTCTGAAATTGTTTGGAAGTGTATTTATTTGTGTACAACTGAGGGGTTTTACAACACCTCGCCTATGCAGAAATATGTGTTGTATCTTTCCCTCCAAAACTTGCATAAACAGGAGCTTGTATTTTCAAGTTGAAACATCTTGAAAAGATTCCCTCCAAAGTTGGAAATTTGCTCAAAAAGGTCGCCTGAAAATATTGATACAGCTTATTAATTCAGTAAATCGTTTCACTTGTTTGAAGAAACATTAAATTTATTTTGAAGTTGATATCTATCTTTGCAACCTAACCTAGTAGTGTTATTTTCTGTACTAATTATAAACCTTCTTTTAAACTGCAAAAAGAAAAAAAAATGGGCTAATTCAATCTATAAATTAGACGGTTTTATTTTGTATTGATTTGGAGTAGAAATAAAATGTTATTTTCACTAATGTACACCAATTTTGACAGTCCAGATGTACATGTTGAATGTATGTATTTTGGCGTTAAGAAATCCAAGATGGCTGCCCCCATGTGCTTCTATGCAAATGAGCCCCACCAGTTCAAAGTTAAGATGACTTGCAGTGGAATTGGTTATAAAGACCACTTTTATAACCTAACTGGGCTCCATGGCTGATTTTATTTTTTTTCTTTAATCCTATTATTTTATTTTTGATGCAAATTTTTTAACCAGGAAACCCTTCTGATTTTGAAAACATGTGTCAGTGGCATACCATTATGAATATTCCAAAAATTTCTTTGATTTTAATACTTTATCTTGTTTTTTCGCTGGTCATGTGATAATATATGTACAAACCTGATATTGCATTTCTCAAAATGAGTTGAGGTTTGATAATACAAAATCTTGAACAAAAAACACAATAATAATATCTTAAATGTAGGGAGTGGTTTAGGCTTGAACAACATTGTTATTAAAGTGATTATAATTTAAGTTTTTCTCTAGAATTCTTGACCACTCATGTCAATTTCCCTGGCCAACTGAAGCATAGTTCATCGTAAGCTTCCTTAAAATCTGTTGCCCTTATATCACATGGCTGTTAATTCGTTGCCGATCGCTTCCTAGCATTTTTTTTTCCAAATATTTGTGTCACAGTTTCCAGTTTGAACCTGCATGTCAAATGACCAGCAGTTCTACGTCACTCACTCGTACGTGTATCTGCAGCAAACCAAACATTACATTCGCGCCACACACTCGCATGTTGGAAGCCTGCCAGACTTTAAAATCCAAATAAAACAAATTGCCTAGAATATTGATTTATACACAGTAGGCAATGGTTGCTCAAGAAACAACAATAATACTTCTTTCTTTGCCCGAGATCATTAAAATGGCCTTCGTAATCGGAGATAAAAAATTGTCAAGGTGAATCAGGGGAAATGGATGCCAGTAAAAAACCTGAATTACTCAATAACGGGGCCACATGCTGCAGTTATCAATATGTGAAGGATAGGATAAAATTGTAATCTTGGTGAAAAAGACAGACTTTTGGTCAATTTAATGAATTAAGTTGGGGTTATATTTCCTTGCTGGTTCATGTCATTATATCATATGAGCCAATTTTTGGGGACATTTTGCTGTAATTGGTGTTTTGTTGCCATGTGTCAGGGTAACTGTGTTTGCGTCACACCCCAAAGGCAATGAAAATGATGTACCTTGGATACGAGTCTTCAAGGTTACTTTTGTAGAGGGGGTATTGAATGAAGTATTACCTACTGCGCCACAATGACAGGGCAGGAATTCTACCCACGTCATAATAGTTAACTGAATATCGGTCAGATCTCCATATTGGACAGGTAGCGACTTGTCGTTACACTCTAAAACTTACCGAGATTTGAGTACAAAATCGCTGACATTTACACTGTGAAACAAAAATGTGGTGAAATTTATGTCAGTGGAGTGACTCGTGGAACTTTACTGAGATATCTGCTGAAATTCCAGATGGGGTCAACGTTGACAGTGTAAATCATGTTGAAACTAGATTATTTCATGCTTTGACATGTTCTGTCTATAGTTTAACTACACAGAGGCAGGATTTCAGTTTGTTTAATCTTGTTTTAAAACTTCCCTCATAGTCCCTTTAAATTTTTAAATGTCCAGCACGGGAAATTGTCACTGGTGCGCTTGTTAGTGTTTTATTATTTTCTGGTGTTTAAATCAGTATTTTGGCAAGATTGAAGCCAATATTAGGTATTCTATAACTGTTTTGGGGCCATGTGACTTGGCATGGTGCCCAAATGTGGATTTCACAGTATGTGCTTTGAAGTGACCTTACAATACCTGTGACAAGTGACGGCTTAGGGGGTCCAGTTCCCACCTCACAAGCAGAGTCGACTATTCAAATTTGAGAGGGAAGTCGCCTCATTGGCCGCTCATTTAGTATTTGCAAATTTTGGAGGGAAACTGTGGCTTTAAGAGTCGGACGCCCCTCATGGTTTGTCAGTGTGGCATTACCCATTGGGACTTACAGTCCAGTATCGCAGCTCTGCTAGCAGTGTCATACATGCAGACAGTATGGTCACTTAGCGAAGCCTCTGCTCTGTCAAATATGACTTGAAGTAAGTTTTTTTTTTCTGATTACTTTCCCTGTTGGTGACATTTGTTTAGTTGTTTTTAATGTACCTGGCTTGCCATGTCTGTTTCCTTAATCGTTCCACCTTGGCAGAAAAGGTATTGCTATGTCAGTCCTCAATGTTTTACATTCCTTCATATGTTCATGTTGACTGCAGTTATCGGTGCCCTACTTGTCCATTTCTGCTGATTAGATCATGATAGCTGAATTCCAAACCATTGCAATACTTCTCTACAATTCATTTTGGCAATCTTTTCTATTCAGAAAGAGAACTACCATGGCTGGCTAGCAAACCTGATTATTTTTTACCCCGAACAATTGGGTACCCCCTTGACAATTTTCTGTAGACTGTAGGGCGGGCTTGGACTGTATCTAGTTTACAAGTTGGAACAAAGTTCAAAATTTGGAGGGAAACACCTTCCATATCAGATAGTATTATCGCATTTTGTCTCATACCTGAACCATTTCTGTCTTGAGATTTCAAGTAAATTCTTTCTCACGCTGTAAATGTTAAAATACATTGTAGAAACAGAGAGAGAATTTGTAACAGTGATGTGTTCTCTTTTTTATCAATATTATACTTGTCTAAGTGTAAAAAGTTTTTTTTTTCTCCTAAGTCGAAATTGTTAAAAAATCACCACTGATCAAAATTTCTATCTTGATTGAAACTTTTTTTCCCTTTAAAGGTGACTTAAGTTTCTAAATTGTAACACATATTAAGAAGTATTGTCCGTTTAAAGGCAATTGTCAACTTTAGAGGGAACACACCTTTATCTGATTTTGGAGGGAAACATGTCCACGCGGAAACTGCTAAGCAATTAAACCCTATTATAAGTTGCCGCCACAATCTACACATTCAGCTGTAGCATACCTGTCCTCTGTGTGCCCCCAGTATATTTCTAGAACAAAATGATTTGCCAAATTTGCACTTGTATGCTCAAGTATGTGTGTTATTTGTAAATTCTTTCGATGAAACACTGAGATATTTTTTTTTTTTTGAACTGCATGAATTCAAATGGTTACAAATATTTCTCAATTCTCAAATCCATTTTTGTTTTGCATTGCCTCGTGAAGTCTAGCTTGTGTTGAAAAACTTTTTTTGCTGTAATGACTGTTAGAAGTTAAATTTTTAACTGGTTTTCGGTCATGGCTGCCCTTAAAGCAGTACTAAATATACACTGAATTTGTCGAAATTGGTACCTGAAGTGTTATCTCAAATTTGAAATTTATATCCCTATAATTTTACCTTGAAAAAACTTTTCTATTTTGCTCTAAAATAACAGCTATGGCTTCCATCAAGATTGTTTCTTAAAATATAATTTGGAACATTATTGTCTAGGATCATTTAGGTTTATAGATAGTTTATATTATATTGAAGTTGAAATTTAATGGCCGGTCGTATACAGCTAGTCAGACATAAAAAGATTGTATGGCGGGAAACGTGATTAGAATCAGTACGAACATACGTTGGTATCCGAAATGCGCCACAAAGTCACGACAAGTATGAACAAGCCTGGGTAATAAATGACTACGAGTTTGTCGCAAGCTGGGGAGTTCGGTTTTCTCTGAGAGCCGACCAATGAATCAGCCATTCCCACGGCTAACTGCTTAGCGAATACCGGTGGCGCACAAAGGATTACAACGTCGTCTTTGACTGATATCAAATAGGAAATCTGGCTATGTGCCAGGTTTCATTCTTTTACGATCACGCTGTCAGCATACTGCCATTGAGGAATAACTGTGTGGTCACAAATCGTTCATGCTAGTCCAATGACCGTACTGACGCATTCCATTCATTTTTCTTCTTCCAGCTGATAAATTCCGGTTGGTGCTTGCCTCAACCCTGCGGGAAGATGGCTACCCAGATGATGGTGAATATACCCCCCTGAGTGATGGCGTGCCCAGTAGGGCTGACCAGTTTGAGTATGTAATGTATGGAAAGGTCTACAAGATTGAAGGAGATGAGACTGCTATGGACGCTGCAACAAAATTGTAAGTTTTTTTGTACCATTTTCTGCTCAATTTCATTCTCTCTTTTGATCTCAAAGTGGGCCAGTCATTTTACACCATGCCAGTTCAAGCATTCTACTTGTTAAAAAATTTCTGTAGCTAAGGCTCCGAAAAGGGGAGGTTGGTGATGGATCAGGGTGACCCCTCTTGTATTATATTAAGTGTTGTCAAGGTAGATACAGTGGGTTAGGCTCAGTTTGTTAGACAATGCAATTGTTGGAGTGCAGAATTCAGCTTGACAATGGTTGCTTAGACCCAATTGTTTTGTTTTCCTATTATGTGGCTAATTCCATGTTTTTTTTTTATTGGCTGTTCTTTGTCTGTGAATAAACGTTGCTTTTCATCTGTAGTTCAGGGATTGGTTTCAGTTTATTCAATCATGATATCAGAATTGTTCATTTTTCAATAAATTATACCAAATTTTTTTTTTATCACCTGTTATGCCAAGATTTCATGTCATCTCATTGAAAACTTAGATTGTGGTTTGAAATTGACTCGGCATAATGTGCGAAAGAGGAAGTGGGAAACAGATGGGGGATAGGAGTATATATATTTAGTCCGCATTTGATGTGTGTAGTATGTGTTGTTTCAATTCAGTAGCATGGTAACATCATGATGACTACTGTTCACTAGATTATATGAAGGTCACTATGTGATTGGTCACTTGACACATCACATGACACTGACCTGTTTCTTATCTGTGTTTCAAAGTGCACGGCGAAAATCAATATTCCGCCCAGCAGTAAAAAATTAGAAGGTATTGTCTTGTTACTTTGATGGTGGAAGATTCCATTGTTTGCACAGGGTAGGGTTGGACTTACTATATGCCACAGTGTGGCAGTGTGGTTAGCTGGTTGTTAATTATAATTTCAACCATCTGATCATCTGCCTATACAGTGACATAACCAATCATCCTCCAAACTATGCTGTGCCCCCTTGCCAATAAAATGAACCAGTCCTTTGTTTTTAGTAATATTTAATAGCGTCACCAAGAGGGTTACCGGTACTCTGAAAATAGCAGCGACATCACTCTCTCCCCTTCTTTATTAGACAAAGTGGTTGAACAACTTTATTACTCAGATATATTAGGTGAAAGGCCTACATGTTGTATATGTACATGACTATTTAAATGGCCCCACAAAAATGCATGACAGAAACCTGTAAAGCTTTGATGACCAGAATGGTTGCTAGGCCGAAGAGCATGTCTTTGTGAAACTTGAAACAACCTAAAAAATAAAATCCATCATGTCAGGTCATTAAAGTTTCCACAAATCTTGCCAATATCATTTGAAATGAAAAAAAAACGTGCATATGTATATGTCAAAATTGTTCTTAGTATTGAATTTGAAATATAGATTTTTCAAGATTAATTTTACTGTCAGTTGAGTTATTTGGCCTGTGCTCCTTGTGAGTTGTTAACAACGTGTACATGTGTGTGCATGCACAGGACATGTACTCACATGCAATCTAGGGTCCATAGACTAACACTGGGTACACAATGTTACAGGCTAGGCTTTAATAACCTCACCCTATCAACGTGCCAGTTGCTAAGGTAACCAAACAAAACAAGAGCAAAACATACTTCTTTTCTCCCCATTGTTAGATAAGTTTTATTTCGATGTGTACTTTGATAAACTTCAGGAGACGCATGTCTCGGTGTTAAGTGCCGGTTTGTCATGATGATGTCGATATAGTGGGCAGTGCATGCTTTAGACAATTTAAATATTGATTTGGTATTAAATAGCTGTGTCATAGTGCTGTACATGGAAACTATGTTACATTGGGATTGGGATTTTGTTTAAATACGAGTATAAAACAGTAACTAATAATTTAAAAAAATTGTAAAAAGCTTCCTTGTTAACTGATTGGTATGGATTGTGTTGTGACTTTAATAGTGAATAGTACCGGGTATTTTTCTTTTCATAACTTACTCTTGTTTAGTATACATAGATTTGATTACACAGTTTAAAATGACTGGCCCA